AAATTGTACCAAAAATAGAAATAGTTTGAAAGACATGATTACATTTATATATTCATATAATTGACAATAAACAAAAAGCCCTAATATTGACAATATAACACATTATAAATCATAAATTAAATACCCAAAAGAGACAGTGGATCTATACCACTAAGCCTCTGGGACTCCTCCACGTGTCACTCGTGGCTCTTCTCCTGAAAATTGTTAACCACATAATGAGACTCAAAAGTCCCAGTAACCAAAGCTAATTTATGATAGTGTATACAAACAGTTAAGTGTGTGCTTACTAAGTGAGAATTAAAAATAATATAATTCCAACAAATATAAGAAATATTATAATACACACAAACAACCATCCTTATATCCCTCCATTAACCTCGAGCCGTAGCCCTCACTCAGTACTAAATTACCCGGCCAAAGGTAGATTAGCCCGAGCCCTTACAAACCACCTATTGAGCTCCAATAGGGGCGTACCACGTGGCACATAATTACAACAATAATAGCAAGTCTCCCAACACCTCCCACAATAAATAAACAAATTCATAATAATATTGTACAATTATACAATATTACAAAATTCATAATTTTCTCAATAATCACCCAATTAACATGAAGTAACACTAATCATAAATTAAAAGCATGGTTACCTTGTGGCTTTTTCAATAAATTATTCCTTAAAATTTCTCTCTCACCACAATCTTCACCAGTAATACAATCTACAAATAACATATTATTTATAAATATTAGTTTCAATTTTTGAAACTAATAAAATAATTCTAATAATAGAATTAAAAATATAACATAATTCCTAATCTCAATCTTAATACAAATCTATAGTTAATACTATTAAGTATAATTTTTAACTCCTCTTTTAATTATCAATAAACATTAATAATCTAAAAATCAACTTCTAAACTAATTTCTATTATCAAAATTTTCTTTTTATTTCATAAATTCGTACCTAAAATACTCAAAAATTAAAAATTAAGTCTCTAGCTTAGAATCATAATCCTATAACCATAATAATTCATTTCTCATCCCAAATAATCATCTAAACCTCAATAAATCAACATATATTTTCAGATCTAGTTTAGAATTTGATCCATAAGCCATAAATTCAAAGATCATTAACAAATTTATACTCTATAACATTTATTATACTACTGACAACCTCAAAAACCATATTTATTCAACATAAATTCATCCCTCTTTCAGATCTTAAATTTTCTACCACTACAAACTCAGAAACTAAAGAAGAAGGATGACTAAGAAAAATTTTTAGAACACTTACTTAGTCTTGAAAAGCTTAAAATCACACCCTAAATATCCTATTAAAAACTCTTACTTTAAAACCCAGCACCGATGAATTTGGCTCACAGATGCTCTCTCTGCCGAAGCTCACGCACGAAAGAAGGAATGAAGAAATGAAGGAACAGGTGAGTTTTTATAAAAATTCAGTGGGTCCCACATTTTTTTTTAAATTATTTTCTCTCTCTTCTTCTTCTTTTCTTTTTATTATTATTTTATTATTGTTACTGTTCAGGCGGCGGACGAAGCAAATTCGCTTTCTTCTTCTTCTTCCTTTCTTTTCCTTTCTTTCTTTTTATTATTATAATAATAATAATTTAATAATATTTTATTTTTTTATTTATTATTTTTTTTACTTTTTTTATTTTTATTTTTTTTTATTTTTTTTTTCATACCTTTTTTTATAATAATAATTTAATAATACTTTTTAAAATTTTTATTAACCCAAATTAACTATTAAAATTTAAATTGAGATGTTACATTTATATATTTAATATACTTTTATCTAATTAAATCAAGATAAGTGAATTTTAATACATCAATAATATCAATAAAAGAGTTTATTATAATAATGTATAGAAGATTCATTTGGCTTAATTTAATTGCAAACAAACACCTTCACCCAATGTTAAGATCACAAAGAAAAATAGGGAGGAGAGAGATGGATGCAATTTTTCCTTTCTATTCTGGGCTGAGCAAGAAAAAATGGAAAGGAAAATTTGTTAATTTCATATGAATAATAATAATTTTATTATTTTTTAAAAAATATTTATATATACAATTTAATATTTTAACATATTATTTATATAATTTTATTATATATAATTGTGAATCATTTTATCTAATACTGGAAAAAAATAATTTTGTCTGATTTTAAATATTATTTCTTAAATTATTAAATATATAACAATATAAATTTTAAAGTGGAGGGAAAATTAAAATGAAGTAATAAAAAAAATAAAAGATTCATGAGTAAATTTGAAAATTAGGTTTTCTTTCCAAAACCTACCACATCTAGAGAAAAAAGTTGAAGGAAAAAACATGTGGATCCTATATATTATTTTTCTCTCAATATTCTCTCCTTTTCATTTTTTCTCCTTAACCAAGTAAGAGAAAATGTCATTTTCCACCACTTTTCTCTCACTTTTATTTTTCCCTTACTAATTTTCTCTCCTTCAAGCACAAAATCAGTATATAAAGCTAGCTATATAAATTTTTCCCATGATTATAATATTATTGCAGAATATTCAAAATAATTGCAATTTCAGATGAGAATCAATATGCATGCAGATCGACTAGTAGGAGGATGTGCCGGTTTAATTAGCGGGTTTGTCTTTTTTCTTTTTTTTGGGGACCTGAATTCACCTTCAAACCATAAGAAATGAAAAATAGTCTCACTTAGCATAGTTTGGCACATTTTATGCTTATGAATGGAATTAATTAATAAACAATTAAAAATGAAGAGAAATAATTAAATCTTAAAAAGAAAAAAAATATGAGCGAAGCTCAATAATATTTTCCTGCCAACATGTATATGATTCCACATGTACACGCAAGCTGAGCATGCCTGTGAGCCGACAAACAAACTGAGATAAAAGCTGAAAGTCGACAATGACATGCCCATGCAACACAAACATCTTATGATGACTGATCCATATATTACAAAAGTAACCTGAATTTCTTGCAGTCTCATAATTACTTCTTCTATTTAAAAATATAAAATATTTTTTAAAAAAATTAAATATTTAAAAATATAAAATATTTTTAATCTTTTAATATATAATTATTGTTTTTTTAAAAAAATATCCTTATTAATAATAATTTCATATTTATTATAAAGTATTTAATAGGAATAAATATGAAAAGATAGAGTTAGTTTGAAAGTAAGTAATCATTTTATTAAGGTGAGATTTAGTTAAAAATGCCTTATATTTTTAAATGGAATGAGTATTCAATGTGAAAAAACCTTTTAAAAAAATCAGATTTTATGTACTCAATTATTATCAAATTATAAAATAATTTGATATAAGATTATGTATACTAATAAAATTTAATAATGATACTTTATGAACTTTTTTTTTAAATAAAACTATAAACTTATAAAAATATATTTACATACTTAATCATTACATTATAATATTATTTCAATTTTTTTCATCCAAAGGGTATTAAAAAAACATCATTAAAGAATTTTTATTTCTTAAATTGCCTTATATTTTAAAATAATAAAATACTTACAAAGTTGTTTTATAATTTAGGAGGAAGAGAGCATTAAATAAAGTTTCCTATTACATTAATTGATGTTTCTAGCTAGATCTTTGAGACCACATTATTCTTGGCTTTGTTAGTAGCATGGTTCAACTTGATGATGATAATATATTTACACACACGCATATATTTTTCTTTAAAAAAAAAAATCAACCACTTGTCTATTAGAGAAAATAATGTTAAGGAACTTTTTTTGCATGCCTGACTTTTGAGTTAATCAAACTAGCTAGCAGTCTAGCATGTAACCTTGAATTGTGTGTGTATATATATACTTCCTTTGTTTAAAAATATAAAGTATTTTTTGAGGAGTTAGATATTTAAAAATGTAAAGTATTTTTAGTTTTTCAAGGTATAATTATTGTCTTTTTTTTAAAAATGCATTTGTTGATAATGATTTTATATTTATTGTAAGGTGTTTAATAGGAGTAAATATGAAAAGATGGGATTAGTTAAAAAATAGGTAATTACTTTATTGAGAGGTGAGATTTAATTAAAAATGTCTTACATTTTTTAACGGAGAAAGTATATATTTGTATGTAATTGTGATCCTCTTTTTTTCTTTTAGAACAATAATATGATAAAATGATTTATTATTCGAGTCTTGAAATGATTTCCTTGTTTTTTTTTGTTAGATTATTGCATGACCATATATAGGCTAAATTGATAATATTTTAATGTATAAATTATTAAAAGGATGAGTATTTTAAAATAACCAATACACATTTTTTACAAGAAATTAACTCATCTAATTTCCTCAGTTTATGTGAGTTAAATTAACTAACTCCTATATTTAGGACCAGGTGAGCGGTGTAATTTTTACAAATAATTATCTAAAAAAGGAACAAAAGCACAAGCTTCAATTCAATTAACATTAAAAATAAAAGTAATAATAAAATGACCTAGACATGTGCAATAGTGGGTAAAACATCTATACCTCTTCACAACAAATTCACAATGTTCATCTAACTGTTCCCAGTGGACAGAAATATTCTTTTCCGCAGAAGAATTATCTAACTAGAAGAGAACAAAGCAAAGATGATGAACGTAAAATTTTAAATAAAAAAAGAGTAAAACAAAATAAAAGAATATAAAAATAATAAGAAAAGAAAAAGGCAAAGGAAAAAAGTTAATAATATGAGAGTGGGATTCCTTGCACTATGCCCATAAAAAATATTACATACAAAGTTACAAACATGCCTCAACTCGAGATTTCTGCCACACTCCACGTTGCCCACAATTTATCTTTGTTATAAAATTTGTGTAGTCATCACCCCTTTGACATAAATGATGATATTAAATATTAGAGTGATCAGTGTATTCGAGATAATACTATACATTTTTTCTTGTACTATATGTGTTTTAATACCCCAAAAATAAATCTTAATCACTAGAAGCATGCATGCTCTTTTTCGGGAGCAAGAATATTCTTCATGTAATCATGCCATATGATGCTTGCAATAAATTTTACAAAAAAAAATTGTATATTTGAAGATAACATTACGTATTTTAAAGAAGAAAAAATGAGTGAAAATAAAAATAAAATTGTGTAGTTGAACGAGTTGTTCAAACTTGAGACCGATGGAGTCCACCATGAGGATGAATGTCTTTGAGCAAACCAAGGACCTGCTGTATCGTGGGCCTCTTTTCGGGTGACTCCGCCGTGCACAAGTACGCCAATCGAAGGCTCTCCGCCATCTCCCTCTCCAACTCACCGCCGTCATCTTTCAGCCTCTCGTCCAACACACGCACACCATTGCCCTCCCTCACCATCTTCCTTACCCACACCACCGTCTCCGCCGTGCCGGCTGTCCCGGTCAAGAGCTCCATCAGTATGACGCCAAAACAATAAACGTCCGTCTCAGTTGTGCAATTCGGGTTATCTTGCTGCCCGATTTTTCGGAAACCGAAATCAGTAATCCGCGGCTCGAAGTCGTCGGCGAGCAAGATGTTGGAAGTGACTAGGTGGCCGTGTACAACGGGTTTTGATCCCGCGTGGTGGAGATACGCCAGGCCACGTGCTATCCCGACGGCGATACAGTGTCGTGTTTCCCAACTCATCGTTTTCGAAGACGAGGCCTGCAATCCGATGCCGTTTTGAATTTCCCACGTGTCGCCACTCCAATCCTCCACGTTAGTAGGCCCCGTCGGCAACTCATAGAGCCACCTTCCTAAATCGCCGTTCGACATGAACTCGTACAACACTAGCTTTTCATTTCCTGAAATTGTAGAAAACGTAATCAAATTTTTAACTTTAATTTAATCTACCACATTTAATTCAACCAATATTTAAACAAATTTCTCAATTAGACGAAACATGAATATTGGAGTCATATAGAGCTCTTGAAGCTTGTCAACTTCCACATACAAGAAAAGCTTTGTTTGACCGTTAATTTCTCAAAGGAAATATTTGACTTAAGATATTTAAAATATTTTGTTTGTTTGTAAAAAAATCCAAATACAACCATTTTATTTGCGAAACCCGAAATGTACGACAGGACGGACACGAAGTCGTATAAGTAATCATAACAAGAGTTTAGATTTAGGGAAAATGGGTATACAGCAAGTTAGTGAGTGCGACATCATGAGATTAAAACCCGTGAAGGCAATTAATGTGAGCAGGTTGGATTCAATTTCAGAAAGTACACTGCTTCTGCTAAAAAAGAAAATTTTATTAAAAAAATAAAATTGGGAAGAAAGCATTTGAAAGAAATGCAACCGGGTACGGTACCTGCAATGCAGTAACCGGAGAGAGGGAGTACGTTTGGGTGTTTCAGCTTGGAGAGTTCAACGAACAATTCAACAGCGCTGTCATGATCAACGTCTCTGGCGCTCTCCAGAACCTTGATTGCCACGTGGATATCTCCGCCGGCTGGTAAGACGGCTCTGTAGACGGGGCCACACCTGCCCTCGGCGAGCAACGAGTCCTTGCCGAAGTGCGACGTCGCGGCGATCAGGTCCTTGAAGCTCAAGTTCATCAATGGCTTCTCGAACATCACAACGGGCGCAGATGATGGCTCCTTCAGATCAGCCACCCACGACGTACCCGATTCAGTCTCGAAAGCGAATGGTCCAGATTTGTCAACCTTGAAAGGCAATGGCGGTACCGGTTTCGAAATCGCCCATTTGCTTTTCTTAGCCAATAGTCTCTTTTTTCTGTAGACGCAGAATATAGAAATACACAATAGAACAATGACGAATCCTGAAGCAGAGCACACTGAGAGAATCAGTGTTTTAGATTTTGATTTAGGTCGTTTCCTCCTGGTAGGACTTCGTTTCGGAGAATGAAACGAAGGGTGATGAAACGGCGCCGTTTTGGAAGCGTTGTAATTGAAGCTAGCACCGGCGTGAAGGAAAGCTGATTTGCCGAATTTCTTGTACGCATCGAAGCTAAGTATTGCTCTGAAATTGTTGTGAGAAATGTTCAAGAAACGAAGGGCACGAAGACGAGGGAAATCAGAAGGGAAAGTGCCATTCATTTGGTTATTAGAAAGATCCAAGTAATTCAATGACTTCAAAACAGAGAGAGGTTTGACATTTCCTTTCATTTCACAGTTGGATAGGTCAACGTGATTCAGGTTGGCGATCTTTTGAAACCCAGAAGGCAGGTATTTCAGATTGTTATGAGAAAGGTCAAGAACTTTCAGCTTTGAAAAGCCAGAAAGCTGAACATGATTCGTGAACCTATTGTGCGAGAGATTAAGCATTTGAAGAGAAGAATCGGCCAAGGAGCCATTAATGCTACCTCCGAACCTGTTATTGGAAAGATTGACCTCCAGTAAGCCGGAGCTAGCCCAGAACCAGCTAGGCACTTGACCTTGAAGAGAATTTCCAGAGAGATCAAGAACCTGCAAGTTTGAAATGTTCCTCAGAAACTTCCACGAAATAGCCCCTCGGAGATTCTTGGAAGCAAGCCTTATGGCCCTAAACTGATCGTTGACGGAACAGTGGGATATCCAGGAAACGTTGAATCCAGAGACTGATTTGAAGGCCTTGGACACAAGGTTGAGGTCTTGTTGACTAAGTTTGCAGGAGGAGGAAGATTCAACAAGAGCAAGCAGAGCCAGAAGAATCAAGAATCTGGAAAAGGGTCTCATTTTAGCTAGAGAGGCTCGAAATTTGTCTGTCATATATAGTGTAGTATATACCCTGTTTGTTTCAGTGAGACGCTTTGAACGAGGGAGGAAGAGAGAGAAGCTTGGAGGTGAAGTGAAGTGGGGTAGCTGGCGCGAACATAGTGAAGTGGGAAGCAACGACGACGTCATCTTTGACGGAGAACTTAACGGCTCGTTGGAGGTGGGGAGAGGTAGAGGTGTTGACTATTGGCCGTTGCACCTCCCGACAGTCGACACAGCACAGGCAAGTCACAAGCGACGAATGACATAGTTTTTGTTCGATAAAATGGGATAAATTCTTAAATAAAGTGTATATTGAATTAAATAGATATATAAACCTAGATATTTTTTTTATCATATCAATACCATTCATTATTTAGAAGCTCCATTAATTTTTTTTTATTAATCTAAATCAAATTGGTAAGACTATGATAATGACAAAACTAAAAATAATTTATTTATTATGGACACTTTTAGAAAGTGATTTTTTTATTATAAAAACTTAAAAAAATATATTAATTATACATTAAAATATTTAAAATATTTTGTATTTTTTAATATTTAACTCCTTAAAAGATATTTTATATTTTTTTAATAAATAGAATAAATGAGTACTAATCGCGAAAGAAATGATATTATACGATCTATTTGGTTAGCAAGGACATTGCCTATATTCTACAAAGTTGAGAATTTAGTAATGAGTAATTTATAATTATTTTTTAATTTTTTTTAATGGTAAGATATGTCCTACCTTTAATAAACTTTTAGGACTTAATTTATGCAAATTTTTTGTTAATAAAAAATGATATTATAGATTCTTAGAAAGAAATACTCCCCTTTGTCCATGCCATTGTAGTATGTGTGTCGCCTTCTATTTTAAATTATAAGACATTTTTAAATAAATTTTATAAATCAATAAACTTTAATAAATATATTTAATAACTTTATTTTTTTCAAAATAAAAAATAAAATTTTAAAAATATTCTTAATTTAATAATCTTAAATTTACATTTAGTCAGCATTAAATAGAGAGAGAATAAAATAAATTTATTTAATAAAATTTTAATATTATTAAAATTTCTTATATTTTAGATTGATAAATTTTTTTTATATTAGGATGAAGGTAGGAAGATGGTTGAATTTTTTGTTGTGAAAATAATACTGTTGAATTTAATTTGCGCAATTAATGCAAAATGGACGGACAGTTTGAGGAGAATTGAACTCCAAGTATAAAGCAGGAAGGTCAAATTTGGAGGAGGGTGGCCAGATGGTCCCAAAATAGATTAGAAGGTGACTTCACAGTATTTCAAACTCAAAGGGTCCCACTTCTTTTATTTCAGATTTGTAAACATCACGCAGTAACGCAGATGCAACCGTACGTGATTGTGAGCGAGCCAGTAATACATACTCCCTCCGATCCTATTTATAAATTATTTCTATCAACCTCATCAATATTAATATAATAAAAATATAAGAAATAAAAGTAAATAAAATTTCAAACATGTTCCTATATAACAAATCTAAAAAGTAATATCCTGTTACTTTTTTTCTCTCACGAAGGGTAATTTTAAAAATATCTCTCAAATATTACCTAAAAAGATGCACCGTGACTTATAAATGGAACCAAATACACTTTTTAAAATTGGACTTATAAATGGGATCGGAGGAAGTATCAATATATAATAAATCGCGTTAGTGTCAATAAAAAAAATATCAAATTAATAGGAATTTAATTTATAATTCATAGATTGTGATTCAATTCCTGTTAACAATATAAAAATTTTATTAACGAGCAATTTATAATTTATAAATACTCCTTTAAATTTATGCCTCAAACATATCCCACGTCCTAATAAATTTTTAAGACCCGATTCACATAAATTCTTAATAATCAAAGCATGAGTCTCTCATATATATATATATATATATGACTTGATAAATATATAATATTAAATATAATTCATGGATAGATGACTTGTTTGAGCTTTTTAACTGTATAATGGATGAATATAAATACAAACAAGGTTAAAAGTTATTTTGATTCCTGAACTATATGCGAAGATTTACAAATGAGCCTAAACTTAATTTGAGATTAAGTTTATCTCTCAACCTCAAAGTTTTGCTTCCTCCGTGCCTCTAGCATTAATTATCCATTAGTGGGGTTCACATAAATTTTTTAAATATTTTTTAAATAATAAAATATAATAGTGGGACCTACTTTATATTTTTTATTATATTTTTTGAGGTTAAGGGTCTAAAATGCCATTCAATTAAGTGAAAAGAGTTAAAATCACCTCTAAAGTAAAAAAAAATGTCATTTATATCCCCAACTGTCATCATTGTCTACTATGTCAATTTTCACCCTTAGTGGGTTCACATATGAATTTTTTTTTTTGGATCCCATAATTTTTAATATTTTTTAAAATTTTAAAAAATACCACTCTCTTCTCCCTCTCTCCTTCCTCTCTCTCCCCCCCTTCATTCCCTCTTGTTCGCTTGTTCTTGGATTGAAACAAGTGGATTAGCTGCAACAGATTACCCAGCATACCGATTACAGTCTTGTTATCGTCGTGAGGCTGAAGAGTGTACTGAAAGTATGTTCCTGCAATGGTTGATAGAGTTTTGGCACCATTTAGCAAATAGAAGATTTGAGGGTAAGGTTAAGAATTACGGTAGAAAAATCAGGCTTGGAGCCATTAGAGAGCCATGCTTTAGAGTTTAAATTTTTATAAACTTAAACAAAGACTCACTCGAAGGTATGGCCTAAGCCTTAATGAGACATACTAAAACTATAAACAAATGGTAGGACTCATTAAAAATATTAAAAAATTTAAATGTGGGCTCCACTAAAGGTAAAATTTGATAAATAGACAGCAAAATGATGTAATAAAAAATCTTAACAGTTGAAAGATATAAATAACCCTTCCTTGACTTTAGGGGCAACCTTGGTCTTTTCTGCTTAATTGAGGGGCATTTTAAACCTTTAGTCCTATAAAAGAATGGTGGGACCCATTAAAAATATTAAAAAAATTAAATGTGGGTCCAATAACAATGAAATTTGATGGAATAGATAGCAGGGTGATAAAATAAAAAATCTAATTAGCAATTGAGGGATATCAATAACTCTTTCTCAATTTTAGGAGCAATCTTGATCCTTTTTGCTTAATTGAGGGATATTTTAAACTCTTAAACCATACAAAAATATCTAACAAACTGTTTCACCGACAATTCATATGGGTTTTTGTGTGTGTGCATATAGCAAATCATATCACTTATAAATTGTAAATAATATTCTTTACTTTTCAAATCCTATATAATATAACAAGATGGTATATTACTCAATTTTTGGAAAATATCAATTCTTTAATTATATATTTGTGGGTGTGTTTTCCATATGTTGTTTTGGACAAAATCGAGTACTTGATGATATATGTGCGAGCCAATTTATTATTTGAAGAAGTAACTTATTGGGATTATGAAATTTTTAATCCCTTTAAGTTTTCTTAAATTATTAAGTTAGTCTTTTTAGTTTTGAAAGCACAAATTTATTTTATAATTAATTTAATATATAAAGTATTTTAATAATATGACATACATATGTAGTTAAATAAGAAAATAGCTCTCAAATCAGTTTAATTTTTTATTAATCTAATCATTTATGCTGCATTTTATTGTTTTGTCTTTTAAAATTTCTAAATCTTCTTTTTTCTACCTAAATAATTATACTTTTATTTATCAATTTACATGATTGTCATTAATATTCTACTATTCATGTTAACAGATTTTAATAGCATTACCCCCTATTTAAACAATAAAGATCAAATTAATAACTAAAGTAAATTTAAAGGACTAAATCAATAAAAATTAAATTTATAGGACTAAGTTGATAACTGAGACAAATGTGAGGGATTAAAAATTTTATTATCCCTAACTTATTTTTATATATAATATTAAAAAAATTAATCTTTTAATCTTCCAATTTTTAAGTCACTTATAACTTAATCCCTTAACTATGACTTGCTGTGACTCAGTCCCTCAATTATAACTTGCTTATGACTCAATCTCTCAACTTTTGAATCACTTACAAATTAGTCCCTTAACTTTTGTTAATTTTTTTTTCATGTTAGTTTATATCTTACATCAATGAGCAAGAGAAGGGTATTTTAAAATAATATATGAGCATTTTTTTATTCCTCTTATTTGATAAGAATTTTTTTAAAAAAAATTAAAAAATAAGGATCGAGTTATAGGTGAATCAAAAGTTGAGAAACTGAGTTGCAACGAGTTATAGTTGAGGGACTGAATCGCAGCGAGTCATAATTGAGGGATTGAGTTACAAGTGAGTTAAAAGTTAAATGATTAATTTTTCCTATAATATTCAAGTAAAAAGGCCAAGTATTTGTTTAGTTCGCTAATTTCACTTGATGATGTGATCACGTGAAGTTCCGCAAATTAAAAACACATTATTAGTTTTCAGTCTTACTCAAATATATATATATATATATATATCATTTTATTGTCAAAAAATTTACTTCAAATTCCAAATCTTTAATACTTACGTACGCATTCATACAATTTGAAGAGAAACTGGCACAAAAAATCGTTAGATTTTCCATTGTTAACATGTCAGAACACCGGTTTCATTATTGAAGTCGATCGTTGTGGTCATCTATTTCATGAATTACTGTTTAATTTTTCTGTTTTTTCCGTTTTGTTTTTTCATTCATCGGGCATTATTGGCATGAATGCATTATTCATATTTCATGAAACTGACCATTTAAAAATAGACACAATAATTATTGAGGAATCTCATAAATAAAATTAAAATAAATACTCTTTCTCTCTTTTATAAGTAAAAAGAGATTTTACAACAATAAGAGAAGAAGAATAATGAAATTAAAACAATACTCAATTAATAATTTTTAAAAAAAGTCATGATGACCTCACTTAGCTCCACTCGTTTGGCAAACAAATCTCTTCATGTAATCAATTTGGTCTTTATCAGGGCTGATGAATCATGTCTGAAACTGAATGCAGCAAAAATAAATGATCACAACTACTTTGTTGAAGTTCAAGTAGTA